CCCCGCCCCCCAACGCCCCCCACCTCACTGCCAGTAGACGCTCTCTTCCTCACGCCTCCTCCCCAGCCTGATACCCCACTCTCCCCACTCTGTGGGGGAGAAACATTCACATTAACACGATGAGTGGGATGAGTGGTTGAACACTCTACACGTGCTGTCATCTGAAATTAAATTTAATTATTTCATTACTTATTCTACCCCAGTAATATAACCTTGTTGGTGATATTACTTGTACCATGCAGTAATAACACCTTGTAAGTGATAAGTACTTATATTATCAGTCTGCTTATATCGTAAGTTCATAAGGAATTTAAAAGCTAAAAAATGGCAAGCAATTTCACCATATCGATATAAAAAACGTTTTGGAGTCCAGCTCCATCATCAGTTCGACAATCAAAAAATGAATAAAATCATTTTATATGTCAAAATTCTATTACCTCGTTGCACTGACAATAACTTGAATTGATAGCTGCCATACGAAATTAGATAGGTTCATTATTTTGTCACCTCAGTAACAACCACTCACTGAACGAGATATGGTACGTTAATATTTTGTACATTAGCGTATTTTGTACGTTATTTTAAAAATACGTTAACGCATTTTATATGTTAGCTCCCTGACAGAACAAGAAGCGTCAGTCAGAACCTGTTTAATATTTTGTACGTTAGCATATTTTGTACGTTATTTTAAAATACATAAGCGTATTTTGTACGGTATTTTAAAATAAGCTAAACGTATTTTGTACGTTAGCTCCCTGACAGAACGAGAAGCGTCAGTCAGAACCTAGAACAGCGGAGTATAGGTTCTTCGACTCACTCACCTACGAGTCGTGAGCGTAGACAAATGTGTTAAAGTTACATGTGTTAAACTTACATGTGTTAAAGTTACATGTGTTAAACTTACATGTGTTAAATGGGGAGAAACATACACATTAACACGATGAGTGGGATGAGTGGTTGAACACTCTACACGTGCTGTCATCTGAAATTAAATTTAATTATTTCATTACCTATTCTCTCCCAGTAATATAAGCTAGTAGGTGATACTACTTGTATCATGCCAGTAATATAACTTCGTTGCACTGACAATAACTTGAATTGATAGCTGCCATATGAAATTAGGTAGGTTCATTATTTTGTCACCTCAGTAACAATCAATCACTGAACGAAACATTGTATGTTAATATTTTTTACCTTAGCTTATTTTGTAGTGCGTTATTTTAAAATAAGTTAGCGTATTTTGTACGTTAGTGTATTTTGTACGTTATTTTATAATACGTTAAGATATTTTGTACGTTAGCTCCCTGACAGAGTGAGAAGCGTCAGTAAGAACCTAGAACAGCGAAGTATAGGTTCTTTGACTCACTCCCCTACGAGTCGTGAGCATAGATAAATATGTTAAACCCACATGTGTTAATCTTACATGTATTAACTTACATGTGTTAAACTTACATGTGTTAAACTAACATGTGTTAAACTTACATATCTATCTGTAATGCCAAAAACTGTAAGCTGTGTTACTCTATAAATAAGTACTCTTTTGTTCTTTACTCTGTGCCTCATATCTGATCACAAACTAAACCCGATCTAACCTCAGGTCTTTCACACAATTACTATACATATAAAAGGTGATAAAACCTCAGGTCTTTCACACAATTACTATACATATAAGAGGTAATAAAACCTCGGGTCATTCACACAATAATTATACATATAAGAGGTAATAAAACCTCAGGTCTTTCACACAATTATTATACATATAAGAGCCTCCTAAGGCCATGCTGGCTATGCTGAGGCACCACCTGGCTCACCATGGCCCGGCAGGTGGTCATCACCCCCCAGCTGGCTCACCATGGCCCGGCAGGTGGTCATCACCCCCCAGCTGGCTCACCATGGCCCGGCAGGTGGTCATCACCCCCCAGCTGGCTCACCATGGCCCGGCAGGTGGTCATCACCCCCCAGCTGGCTCACCATGGCCCGGCAGGTGGTCATCACCCCCCAGCTGGCTCACCATGGCCCGGCAGGTGGTCATCACCCCCCAGCTGGCTCACCATGGNCACCACACATCACAGTCACCACCACACATCACAGTCACCACCACACATCACAGTCACCACCACACATCACAGTCACCACCACACATCACAGTCACCACCACACATCACAGTCACCACCACACATCACAGTCACCACCACACATCACAGTCACCACCACACATCACAGTCACCACCACACATCACAGTCACCACCACACATCACAGTCACCACCACACATCACAGTCACCACCACACATCACAGTCACCACCACACATCACAGTCACCACCACACATCACAGTCACCACCACACATCACAGTCACCACCACACATCACAGTCACCACCACACATCACAGTCACCACCACACATCACAGTCACCACCACACATCACAGTCACCACCACACATCACAGTCACCACCACACATCACAGTCACCACCACACATCACAGTCACCACCACACATCACAGTCACCACCACACATCACAGTCACCACCACACATCACAGTCACCACCACACATCACAGTCACCACCACACATCACAGTCACCACCACACATCACAGTCACCACCACACATCACAGTCACCACCACACATCACAGTCACCACCACACATCACAGTCACCACCACACATCACAGTCACCACCACACATCACAGTCACCACCACACATCACAGTCACCACCACACATCACAGTCACCACCACACATCACAGTCACCACCACACATCACAGTCACCACCACACATCACAGTCACCACCACACATCACAGTCACCACCACACATCACAGTCACCACCACACATCACAGTCACCACCACACATCACAGTCACCACCACACATCACAGTCACCACCACACATCACAGTCACCACCACACATCACAGTCACCACCACACATCACAGTCACCACCACACATCACAGTCACCACCACACATCACAGTCACCACCACACATCACAGTCACCACCACACATCACAGTCACCACCACACATCACAGTCACCACCACACATCACAGTCACCACCACACATCACAGTCACCACCACACATCACAGTCACCACCACACATCACAGTCACCACCACACATCACAGTCACCACCACACATCACAGTCACCACCACACATCACAGTCACCACCACACATCACAGTCACCACCACACATCACAGTCACCACCACACATCACAGTCACCACCACACATCACAGTCACCACCACACATCACAGTCACCACCACACATCACAGTCACCACCACACATCACAGTCACCACCACACATCACAGTCACCACCACACATCACAGTCACCACCACACATCACAGTCACCACCACACATCACAGTCACCACCACACATCACAGTCACCACCACCCGCCACCCACCACCCACCATACCTGGGCGGCGGGGAGGGCGGCGTGGGTGACGGCGGTGAGGACGCGAGGCTCCCCCAGCAGCGCGGGGCAGGCGTCCTGAGCGGCCCGCACCATCGCCCCCGCCAGGTCCTGCGGGAGGGGGGAGGGTTAGGGGGGCGGGGAGACAAGGGAGGAGTGTAGGGGGAAGGAGTTTATGGGGGAAGAGTGGAGGGAGAAATGGTGGGGGACCGGCCTGGAGAGCTGAACATGAGAACCATGGTGCAGTACCTGCAGGTGCGCCCCGACGACCGTGTGCAGCCTGTCTCTTATACACATCTAGATGTGTATAAGAGACAGCAGTTCAANCAAGACACAGCAACATGACACGCCCCCCTCAGATACATCCCCAAGACACAGCAACATAACACGCCCCCCTCAGACACATCCACAAGACACACCAACCAGACACGCCCCCCTCAGACACATCCCCAGGACACACCACCAGACACGTCCCCCTCAGATACATCCCCAAGACACACCAACCAGACACACACTCCCAAGACACAACAACCAGACACGCCCCTCTCAGACACATCCCCAGGACACACACACCCTCCCACACACCCCCTCAGACACATCCCCATGACACACCTGCTTTGAGGTCTCAGCATCAGCGCAAAGAGCAGCGGCGGTGTCGCTGAGCTGCTGCTGGTGGGGAGGTAGCGCCTCCCCAGGAGGGACGGCGCGCTTCATGGTCCTCGCGGCCTCCCCACTCTGCAGCACCAGCCGCGCCACCTGCTGCTGTGCGCTGCTCTGCAGGAGCCCCTGCGTGACACCAAATAGGGCGAATACACTCAAAGAAATCATTGTGACCATGGTCATCCTTCTGGGCTTACATGCAGAACAAAATTTATTCTTTATCGATGAACGGCACATGCAGGGGTGAGTGTCGTGCTAGTTGTATTTCATCAATTCAATATGGCCGAGATTCAACATGGCCGCCATTCAATATGGCCGCCATTCAGTATGGCCGCCATTCAACATGGCCGAGATTCAACATGGCCGAGATTCAACAAGGCCGCGATTCAATATGACCGCGATTCAATATGGCCGCGATTCAATATGGCCGCGATTCAACATGGCCGCGATTCAACATGGCCGCGATTCAACTTGGCCGCCATTCAATATGGCCGCCATTCAGTATGGCCGCCATTCAGTATGGCCACCATTCAGTATGGCCGCCATTTAATATGGCTGCTATTCAATATGACCGCCATTCAGTATGGCCGCCAATCAATATGGCCGCCATTCTAATATAGTGAGCGGGGCGCCATATGTGAGGCACCAGCACCCACCTGATGGAGGCGCAACGACCCTTGAGCGCCGCAGCCGTGGCGTGAGGGCGCCATGTTGCGCTGGAGGGCGTCTTGTATGCGCCGCATGACAGCGTCTGTGCGCTCGGGCGCTGTTTTCATGCAGAGGCTAACGTCGTGCAGCGGGAACGGCAGAAACCGCACGCTGCAGTTACTGTAATGAGGGAGAATATGTTAGAACGTTGACTGTAGTGCCGTACACCTCTGTCACGTACGTTAGAACGTTCACAGTAGCAACGTACGCCTCTCACATACGTTAGAACGTTCACAGTAGCGACGTACGCCTCTGTCAAGCACAAAACAGTGATGCGCACTCCAACCAACGTACGTCCCTACAAAACACACTTGGATGATTCTTTTCCAAGTTTCGACGCAGTGAACGAAAAAAGCCGCAGGGAAGATACTTTTGCCAGTGTGACCGACTTTTTTCTGGAGGACAGCATGAAGGAGCGGCGCCAGCGTGGAGGCCAAGCGGTCTGTCCATCGCTCAGCCAAATGGTCAGTTACTTGTACCACAGAGGACGCCAAAAACTCGTTCTATTTGTCTCAAACCCGCTCCCCTACCCAGAAAGCCCATGAGAGAGCCCCAGTTCCCACCCCATACGCTTTCCAGTCCCATGGGTCAATACTGACCAAGAATTATTGGGGTCAGTGCAGCTCTGTCTTAACTGACCGCTCAAGTTAAAACGCTACCAACCCTATCTTTATTTACTGCATAATTCATCCTGCCAAGTACCCAGCACTTCTCTTACCCTCTACACCCACTACCCTCGTTCTTCCCCCATCACCCTTCATTCTTCCCCCAGTCTCTACCCATGCACAACCTGTACCGTGCATCGCACCAATAATATCCACGACCAACAACGGCACTCACTGCTGCAGAGCATATGCGATGTCCGTGTATCCCTGCAGAGTGATGCAGTTACGGTCGATGCTCAGATGCTGCAGGCGCGAGTTGATCTGCAGCGCCTTCGCCAGGAGCCGCGCGCCCCCGTCACCCATGCCGTTGCCACTGGTTCAAGAGAAGGCTTTAATGGGGCGCTACACCCACCACAGGCTGGCACCATACAACACAAAGATGCACTCCACGACACTTCACCCAACACAAGCTGGCACCATCCAACACAAAGATGCACTCCACGACACTTCACCCAACACAAGCTGGCACCGTACAACACAAAGATGCACTCCACGACACTTCACCCAACACAAGCAGGCACAGTACAACACAAAGATGCACTCCACGACACTTCACCCGACACAAGCTGGCACCATGCAACACAAAGATGCACTCCACGACACTTCACCCGACACAAGCAGGCACCATCCAACACAAAGATGCACNCCTCTGTCGTGTACGTAAGAACCTACACCGTAGCGCCGTATGCCTCTGTCATGTACGTAAGAACCCACACCGTAGCGCCGTATGCCTCTGTCGTGTACGTAAGAACCCACACCGTAGCGCCGTATGCCTCTGTCATGTACGTAAGAACCCACACCGTAGCGCCGTATGCCTCTGTCACGCACAAAACTGTGACAGTGGCACGCACTCCTACCAACGTAGGACCCCAACGACGCACACTGGAATGGTTCCTCTCCAAGTTTCGACGCTACATACCTACTACTTAAAAGCCCGCAGGAAACGTAACTTTTGCCAGTGCAAACAACTTTTTCTGGAGGACAGCATAAAGGAGCGGCGCCAGCGTGGAGGACAAGCGGTCTGTCTATCGCCCAGCCAAACGGTCAGTTTCTTGTACCAGAAGACGCCAAAAATTTGTTCTATTAGTCTCAAACCAGTTCCCCTACCCAGAAAGCCTCTATAAGCAAGCCCCAGTCCCCACCCCATACGCTTTCCCGTCCGATAACTCAATACTGACCCAGAAATATTGGGACCACTGCAGCTGTCTTAATTGACTGCTCAAGCAAAAACGATACCCAACCCTACCCTAATTTAGTGCACAAATCAGCGTCGCACATACCCAGCACTTTCCTCCTACCCTCTACACCCACGAGCCACGTTTCATCATGTTCAGCCGGCTGCCACTCCGCTTATCACCCTTCATTCTTCCCCCGGTTTCTGCCCATGCACTACCTGTGTGATGCCTCGCACCAATAATAGATAAAAACAACAACGGCACTCACTGCTGCAGAGCATATGCGATGTCCGTGTAGCCCTGCAGAGTGATGCAGTTACGGTCGATGCTCAGATGCTGCAGGCGCGAGTTGATCTGCAGCGCCTTCGCCAGGAGCCGCGCGCCCCCGTCACCCATGCCGTTGCCACTGGTTCAAGAAAAGGCTTTAATGGGGCGCTGCACCCAACACAACCTGGCACCGTGCAACACAAAGATGCACTCCACGACTGTGATAATCTTTCGTGCCGAGGTTTAATTAAAAAGCTTTACCCACATGAAAGTCCACAACACTTCACCCGACACAAGCAGGCACTGTACAACACAAAGATGCACTCCACGACACTTCACCCGACACAAGCAGGCACACAAAGATGCACTCCACACTTCACAACAACATCAGGTCCCAGGCACGTCCCAGCAAAGCTACCTGATGTCTAGGGTCAATAGCAATAGACGCATATAATATAATATATAATAATAGCTAATAGACGCAAAGCTACCTGATGTCTAGGGTCAATAGCAATAGACGCATATAATATAATATATAATAATAGCTAATAGACGCAAGGCTACCTGATGTCTAGGGTGAGGAGGCTGGAGTTGTTGGCGAGGGCGCTGAGCAGGTTGTTGATCTCAGACTTGAGGCGGGAGTCGTTCATGCTCAGTGACTCAATGGAGCAGTCCTCTTCCTGCTCACATACGAGACATTAAGCACACATGTTGACTCCTGCTCAGGCATGTTCATGTGAATTATCATATCAAACTTCGTATCTTGGCCAAGACTGCAAAGTGTGAATTATCGTATCAAACTTTGTATCGTGGCCAAGACTGCAAACGTTGAATTGGTTCAAGAAACATCTCAGTAACTTAATAGCAGTCTGTATCAATAAACGCATCAGGAACGAACACGCGATGCTCTATCTACCATGTCTCCATTTCTACTGAAATGGCGTCTCATAACGAGCAAAAACTCTCCCTTTTACCCCCTAATGTTATCCCACTCGAATGATACTGTTACGAGTGGGATGGTTATCCCACTCGTACTGTTTATACGAATGATACTTTAATTAGGCATTGGGCACCTGCAACAGTCCCCACCCTGTCTCTTATACACATCTAGTAACAATCAATCACTGAACGAAACATTGTATGTTAATATTTTTTACCTTAGCTTATTTTGTAGTGCGTTATTTTAAAATAAGTTAGCGTATTTTGTACGTTAGTGTATTTTGTACGTTATTTTATAATACGTTAAGATATTTTGTACGTTAGCTCCCTGACAGAGTGAGAAGCGTCAGTAAGAACCTAGAACAGCGAAGTATAGGTTCTTTGACTCACTCCCCTACGAGTCGTGAGCATAGATAAATATGTTAAACCCACATGTGTTAATCTTACATGTATTAACTTACATGTGTTAAACTTACATGTGTTAAACTAACATGTGTTAAACTTACATATCTATCTGTAATGCCAAAAACTGTAAGCTGTGTTACTCTATAAATAAGTACTCTTTTGTTCTTTACTCTGTGCCTCATATCTGATCACAAACTAAACCCGATCTAACCTCAGGTCTTTCACACAATTACTATACATATAAAAGGTGATAAAACCTCAGGTCTTTCACACAATTACTATACATATAAGAGGTAATAAAACCTCGGGTCATTCACACAATAATTATACATATAAGAGGTAATAAAACCTCAGGTCTTTCACACAATTATTATACATATAAGAGCCTCCTAAGGCCATGCTGGCTATGCTGAGGCACCACCTGGCTCACCATGGCCCGGCAGGTGGTCATCACCCCCCAGCTGGCTCACCATGGCCCGGCAGGTGGTCATCACCCCCCAGCTGGCTCACCATGGCCCGGCAGGTGGTCATCACCCCCCAGCTGGCTCACCATGGCCCGGCAGGTNGCTATTAATGCTGGCAAAAAAAATCTCTAAAATTTTGTTATTCAAAACACATCACTCTGTCTCTTATACACATCTAGATGTGTATAAGAGACCGGTCTAAGTTACCCCAAGAGCTGGGGTAACAAAGACCATCACTTTTTTTGAAATTACATAAAGACTATGAGAGGCAGGAGCCAGCAATTTATGGTGAGTGAAGCTAGAGTATAGACTTGTATTTTGCACGTTTCAATTTAAGTCTAACTTATCTAGTAAAAAAATGGCATCATTTTGAAAAAAAAGTGGTCAAAGTTACCCCATTTTACGGTATATAATATGCTACATCGATAATAAAGCAGATCATATCAACATGGAACAATATCCTCCGACGATAATATAAAACGAAGTGCAAAACTAAAATGCTTCAGTATCTGGGAACGAAAAATTTTATTTGACGTTAGAAACAAAAAAAAAAAATAGAACAATGTTAGAATTAAGATCGTTACCTATTACTATTTACCCTGCAGGTGCAGCACCCCTCACCCACCATTATCCTGCAGGTGCATCACCCCTCACCCACCATTATCCTGCAGGTGCAGCACCTCTCACCCACCATTATCCCTGTCTCTTATACACATCTAGATGTGTATAAGAGACAGCCACGACACACGTCCCCCTCAGATA